CCGAATTTTTATACCGAAAATATGCCAATTACTGAAAGCGGCCGTGGGTCACATTTTGCCCAAACCCCCATGCAGTTTTCAAAATATCTCAAACATCCCAAATACAATACCTGAGCCATATTTTGGAGCCAAATTCTGGCTCTCTGCACGTATTCGCAGTTTGAAATTCCGAATTTTTATACCGAAAATATGCCAATTACTGAAAGCGGCGAAGGGTCACATTTTACCCAAAGCCTTATGCAGTTTTCAAAATATCCCAAACATCCCAAATCGACGTCTGAGACACATTTTGGAGCAAAATTCTGGCTCACAGCAAGTATTCGCAGTTTGAAATTCCGACTTTTTATACCAAAAATATGCCAATTACTGAGAGCGGCGGTTGGTCACATTTTGCCCAAACCCCCCTGCAGTTTTCAAAATATCCCAAACATCCCAAATTCGATACCTGAGCGATATTTTGGACCCAAATTCTGGCTCTCTGCACCTATTCGCAGTTTGAAATCCTGACTTTTTATTCCAAAAATATGCCAATTGCTGAAAGCGGCGGTGGGTCACATTTTGCACAAACCCCCCTACAGTTTTCAAAATATCCTAAACATCCCAAATTCGATACCTGATCCATATTTTGGACCCAAATTTTGGTTCTCTGCACCTATTCGCAGTTTGAAATTCCTACTTCTTATACCAAAAATATGCCAATTACTGAAAGCGGCGGTGGGTCACATTTTGCCCAAATCCCCCTGCAGTTTTCAAAATTTCCCAAACATCCCAAATTCGACTCCTGAGCCATATTTTGGAATCAAATTCTGACTCTCTGCACCTATTCGTATTTTGAAATTCCGACTTTTTATACCGAAAATATGCCAATTACTGCAAGCGCCAGTGGGTCACATTTTGCTCAAACCCCCCCTACTGTTTTCAAAACATTCTAAACATCCCAAATTCGATACCTGAGCCATATTTTGGAGCCAAATTCTGGCTCTCTGCACGTATTCGCAGTTTGAAATTCCGAATTTTTATACCGAAAATATGCCAATTACTGAAAGCGGCCGTGGGTCACATTTTGCCCAAACCCCCATGCAGTTTTCAAAATATCCCAAATACAATACCTGAGCCATATTTTGGAGCCAAATTCTGGCTCTCCACACGTATTCGCAGTTTGAAATTCCGATTTTCTTTTTCCGAAAATATGCCAATTACTGAAAGCGGCGATGGGTCACATATTACCCAAACCCCCGTGCAGTTTTCAAAATATCCCAAACATCCCAAATTCGATGCCTGAGCCATATTTTGGAATCAAATTCTGGCTCTCTGCACGTATTCGCAGTTTGAAATTCCAACTTTTTATACCTAAAATACGCCAATTACTGAAAGCGGCAGTAGGTCACATTTTGCCCAAACCTCCCTGCAGTTTTCAAAATATCCCAAACATCCCAAATTCGACGCCCGAGCCATCATTTGGAATCAAATTCTGGCTCTCTGCACATATTCGCTGTTTGAAATTCCGACTTTTTATTCCAAAAATATTCCAATTACTAAAGGCGGCGATGGGTCACATTTTGCCCAAAACCCCCGTGCAGTTTTCAAAATATCCCAAACATCCCAAATTCGATACCTGAGCCATATTTTAGAGCCAAATTCTGGCTCTCTGCAGGTATGGGTGCAGAGAGCGGTCAACTCTCTGCATTCTTGGGTGGGTGGCGTGTGGGGGGCTTGTGTGGGAGGGCTAAGGTGGGTGATGTAGGGGAGCTAAGGTCGGGGGCTTGGGTGGGTGGTGTGGGGGTGCTAGGGTGGGTGGTGTGGGCGGGGCTGGAGTGAGTGGTGTGGGGGGGGGGGCTAGATTGTGTTGTGTGGGGGAGCCTTGGTTGGGTGGTGTGGGGGAGCTAGGGTGGGGGGCTTGGGTGGGTGGTTTGGGGGGGGGCTAGAGTGGGTAGTGTGTGGGGGGGGCTAGGGTGGGTGGTGTGTGTGGGGACTAGGGTGGGTGGTGTGGGCGGGGCTAGGGTGGGTGGTGTGGGGTGTGGGGGGCTAGGGTGGGTGGTGTAGATGTATTACAACTGTCTGATGGCTCCCAGCTTGACTATGTAAACAGATTCAAATACCTTGGCCTTGAGGTGGCACTGTATGGTTCTGTTGTATTCAGACTCTGTCATCAGTAGTTAGTTTAGTTCATTGATTATGCACCCCATACCCATCTTGTGGGCGGTAGTGGAAAGGGTTACAGAGACACATAATGGGCTCAGGGACTGAACCCCACAATTCATTTAGCTAAGCAAGTTACAATCTTGATGAGCTAGTTACAAAATTCAATATAAGTCGTCACATCAACAATGGGTTCGAGATCGACCTCAAGTACAGGTTCTAAATTAAGCAACTGACATATGTGGAGAGTTAGTGTCACAATTGATATGTTTGTCCTGCACACCGCCCCCCATCCAGTGGGCAGCGGTGGATAGATTACAATCACTTAGTTACTACCTACAGTTAGCAAACTGGGGATATTTGGCTAAAATTTCTGGTAGCAGATCATTTTGAATGAAATATTTACACATCGTTGGAACATTTGTTATAGAATTGTCTCTAAATTCACGTATCTTTTCGCACTCCAGCATATAGTGATGGAGGGTGTGCGAATAATTTTGTTGGCACAGTTTACATTTGGTCAGGTCTACATCGGCAGATAAAGAGAAGTATAAAGAGAGGCTTCGAGCTCTCAAGGCTGTTGCAGGTTATCACTCAGGCTATGGTGCCAGTGTCAGAACTGTCAAAATGATGTACCTTGCATACATCAGATCTTTAGTGGATTATGCTGCACCTCTGCTTGTTTTGATGCCTGAAAGAACTCTCCACCATACTCCCCCATACTCCTCCACTCTCCCCCATACTCCTCTACTCTCCCCCCCCATACTCCCCCCCACTCTCCCCCCATACTCCCCCATACTCCCTCCACTCTCTCCCTCATACTCCCCCACTCTTCCCCATACTCCCCCACTCTCCCCCACTCTTCCCCACACTCCCCCATACTCCCCCACTCTTCCCCACACTCCCCATTTCAGAAATTTTGAAAACTGCAGGGGGGTTTGGGCAAAATATGACCCATTGCCGTTTTCAGTAATTAGCATATTTTCGGTATAAAAAGTCGTAATTTGAAAATGAAAATAGGTGCAGTCAGATTTCGGCTTAAAAATCACGCTCAGGAGTCAAATTTCCGACATTTCAGATATTTTGAAAACTGCAGGGGGGCGGGGGGGGGGGAATCTGACCCATCGCCGTTTTCAGTAATTGGCATATTTTCGGTATAAAAAGTCGCCATAGGTCAATATCCCATATTGGCCTGTGGGATATGTTCAGGAACAGAGACTACCCAGAGACATGCGACCCAGGAGAAACTGAGAAAAAACAAGGGCGCAGCTACTCAGACCAAGAACACATCAAGTGGAGGACAAGAGCGGGATCCTCCCAACCCTTTTCTTCCCCGGCCTTGCAGCACACCAAGATAAAACTCCAGGGAGTATGGACATGGATGAGGGAAACGTACAGTGAAAATCTCACCTGGGAAAAAATCCCACAAAACCCTACCATGATCGCCAGGAGGCGAATTAAGTCCATAAAGACCACCTTGTTAGAGCAGGTGTGCAGGCAGATCATCTCAACCCAACTAGGGCAGAGAACCAGCCCCAGGTTACAGGCCAAAGCAACGAAACCTACAGACCCTAACCTAACCTGACACAGGTTTGGAGTGCGACCTGGGTTTAGGCGGAGTGGTTAGGAGGGGCCTACAAGCACAAGATGATTGGTTCTTTTGGATGTGGTGGTTGCCTGCACACGAGTTACTCTAAGAGATGTAATCTACAAGCAAAAGGACACAAAAAATACAAGAGTTGCAGCCCTGGGTCGTCGGGGGCTATCACCTATCCAGACAACGAGGGAGACTAAGCATGACCCGACGATGGACAGGGGTCCTGTCTCCAGTTGAGCTTCTTGAAATCTTGAGGCTTTTTTTTTTTTTGGCAGAGGTGTTCCTCGCGGGCCCCAAGCCTCTGGCTGGCCCACTAAGTGTTGCTTGTTTCTATTTTACTAAGGCTGAGTAAGAGTATTTATGAGTCGTATGGTCGCTTCAGTGAGATTTTGTTCCCATGTGTTTAACAACAACTTCTGCTCTGTTGAATCTAAGTTGAAATCTTAATGGGTTTGTAACTGTGTACTGTGTTAGATAATGTTCCAGTGGTCTGTCGGGCATTTCTCCAATGCTGACAAGATGATTTAGGGGCTTAGCGTCTCCACGGCCCGGTCCTCGACCAGGCCTCTTTTTTTTTTACACATCCCCAGAAAGCAGCCCGTAGCAGCTGTAACTCCCAGGTACCTATTTACTGCTAGATGAAGAGGGGCATCAGGGTGAAAGAAACTCTGCCCATTTGTTTCCGCCTCCGTTGGGGGATAGAATCCGGAACCCTAGGATTACGAATCCCGAGCGCTGTCCACTCAACCGTCAGGCCTCCTCCTCCTTTTTAGCATGAAAGGTCACAAATTAAATTTTGCAACCTGTCCTCAGACCAAGTCCATGCCATCTAGCAGTCAACCCCAAAGACGCATTCATAAATTTTAACATGTTGTTCATTCAAAATATGAATTTTCTCAAATATAAATCAATATTGTTGTATATTTGTATATTGTGCATATTTAGTCATTAGTTAGGTTAGGTGTTTAGATTCTGTTGGCGATTAATTGTATTTGTAGTACGTGGGTGAAGCATTTATAGCGTTGTGTTTCGAACAAAATTCGTCAGCGAAGCACTTGTTCCGGAAGTGTTCGAACGTCATCAGTTGTAATGAAATTCATAAACGTTTTCATTTGTAAACAGGGGGTGGGGGGGTTGGCGGGTGCTTGGCCTTTGGGCATGGCCGGTGCAAAGGACTTTGGCCTTTGTTTATGAGGAAGGGATGAATTTTGCCCACGCCGGTACAAAGACCCACCCCAGACACACATTCTTCAAAACAGGATAGCCCCCATGGGGGTAATTCATTCAGCAAGTGGATCAAATGACCTAAATGGAAACTGTAGTCCTACAGACACATAAGTTGCATGCTGTCCCATCTGGGAGGACTACAGAAGTCACTCCCATCTATTAGAGAACTATGAGCATATGCCTCCCCCTCGCTCATCATGACTGTGCTGTGACAGGGGGGGGGCAGTTACAGTAGGTGGATATACATCAAGGGTTCATGGTAGATAACTTTAGTATAAAACATAAGGTCTGCTGTGACCAATATATAGGTTAAAAAGCAATGCACCCTTTTAAGTTATAACAAATGTTAACATTGTAAAGATTTTAGTATTATTTACAGTATTACATACTCGTATCCACAACCATGTCTGTGTATTTTATATTTCACAATCTACATTATATATTTTACATTTACACTCACGGTTTAACAGTGTGGGACACTGGGTATCCTTAGATCACCAGTGTAAAGGGTAGAAGTGATACGAGTAGTACAGCTTCTGATGGGAGGAGTAGGCTTCCCACAGCTACTTGTGGGGCAAATCCCTCTCCAGGTTTGATCGTGGCACATGTAGGCCTCTCGGGCAGGTGTTGGTGGTGATGCTTTGTCCTTGTTACCAAGAGGTGAAGTTTGCGACAAACCTGAATTGTGGTGGCGAGTAAGAATGACCACTTCAGATACGGACTGGCTGGACTTATGCTTGGGACGAATATTGCTCTCTCTTTGTTCGCGAGTAAACGAAACTGATTTGGTTTTTGGTGAACTTTCATTAGTTAATGCAGCTACCCTCAGGTCCGACCCCTTCTGAGGTATTGCTATTGTGTCTTCTGATAAAGGGTCGTGATAAAGCGAGTGCAGAGCTTCTTGAACCCCATGATAAATTACATGTACATTTTCAGACCATGAGGACCCAGAAACGCTCATGCCATGCGGAAATGTCTCTCTAAAATCAGTGGAAAAATAAGGAACAGTCTGAGACTGAGAATATTGCTCAAAGAGTGTATTGTTAGGAATTGACAGCCGACAGGAGCTTGATGTTTCCGCTGGCGTGGAATAAGTCAGATTTGACAGAGGATTTGGGCTTTCTGAAGACTGACTTGCCGTAAGAGTGGGCATGATCACTCTACGAATTGGTGAAATGCTTCGTAAATATTGTTCCCGGATTACAGGAGTGTCATTAGCTCCCATTCTTAAAGCTGGAGACGATGGCCGAGAACCAGTTTGATTTAACTGTAGTAACTGGGTGTTGTTTTCGCTGCTTTCAAGTTTGTTACTTATATATCCACTGGAAGACGTCCTGGGCGCGAATGATAACAGTCGAACCATGGGCAAGTGCCTAGTGACATCGACGCCATTGTCAGACACAGACATATTGGCAACATTTTCACTGAAGACCGGCAGGCGAGGGGACTCTGCCTCACCATAACTATCAACAGAGTGTAAAGAGTCAGAGGTGATGTCATGTGTATGGTGCCGCGAGTGAGAGACAGTTAAAATAAGAGAAGGGTCTGCGTTCTCTTTGTCCTCTGACGTCTGGTCGTGGGTTCGAAGACGATGCATCTCTGTCTTCGCCTCAACATGTGTCTCAGGGGCTCGAGGTCTTGGCGGCGGCGACGGGTCGTACACCCAGCCGGACGACAGAATCGACACTTGGTTTAAAAAGGTAGAGTCGTCGCTAACTTGGTGGTATGGGCTAAAGGAAAACGCGAAGGCTACGAGAGCTGCCAGTGTCCCCACTATACTCGACGCGGTCACCACCCACACACCTGCGCCAGTAACGTTACAACATATAGTTTATAAATATTAATTTGCCGAGCTGGATATGGGATAATTTACTTTAAAACTACTGAAATGAGCATTTGTGTAAGCATAGCCATTACACTAAGAAATTAGCTTACTTTCCCAATATTTTAAATCACAACAACTATACGTGTTGCCATTTCCACGTTCAACATTATCTAACCTCATGACGTCAAGTAGTGGGTCTTACCTCGAAGATTAAAGGCCTTGGAGAGAGAGGCGAGAAGGGAGTGTTGGTGGGGAGTGTGTGGTGTCTGGCGCGGCCATTGGTACACCCCCGCGTGGTGCACCTGTACGAACACCGTCACTGTGGTCAACACCAGGGCTGTGGCCGACAAACTCAGACGAATCACAAGCAGGCGCCATCTGGCTGCGGTTTTCCGGGTAGATGTTTTGGAGGCATGGGATCCGGGTGTAGGGGTTCTGCGTCTAGTGGATCCGGGAGCAGGGGATCCGCGAGCAGGGGATCCTGGAGCAGTAATGTTGGAGGCAAGTACCCGGGGGGGAGGGGTGTTTGAGACAAAGGTATTTGAATTAGGAGTTTGGAAGACATGTACTCGGTGGTAAGAGGAACAGCCAGTGACCATGACGCTCATGCCGTTGACCAGCGCCTGGACAGAGAGAAGAGATATAACAACATAAGAACAAAGGTAACTGCAGAAGGCCTATTGGCCCATACGAGGCAGCTCCTATTTATAACCACCCAATCCCACTCATATGCATGTCCAACCCACGCTTGAAACAATCGAGGGACCCCACCTCCACTATATTTAGTGGTAATTGGTTCCACAAATCAACAACCCTGTTACCGAACCAGTATTTACCCAAGTCTTTCCTAAATCTAAACTTACCCAATTTATACCCATTGTTTCGCGTTCTGTCTTGTGTTGATACTTTTAATACTCCATTAATATCCCCCTTTGTTATGTCCATTCATCCACTTATAAACCTCTATCATGTCACCCCTAACTCTTTGCCTTTCCAGTGAATGCAATTTAAGCTTTGTTAATCTTTCTTCATATGAAAGATTTCTAATTTGGGGAATTAACTTAGTCGAACATTCATGCACTGATCCTTTGGGTTTAAATTCTTACTAATCATAACTCCCAGATCCCTTTCGCAATCCAACTTGGCAATCTCAACAATCTGTGACCATCCCCCCCCCCCCAAGACTCAGGCTACCACAGCCACTTAAATATAAATTTCATAACAAAAATCTCGAGACCTAAAATATTTGTAAAAATACAAAAAAATAACATTTTGGCTATGTTCTAAGCACACTACGAAATATCGCCATGTATGGTGTCCCCCCCCCCCACCCCCTGGCCATTTTCATGGTTAGGTCTGAAATTTAGATCCTTTCCGTCACCGGCCCTCCACAACATTAACAGTACAAAATGCAGCGATTTTTGGTACTGTAGTTATAGTCATGTCTGGACAACTGCTGAGGGGGAGGGGGGGGGGTCCATGTCTGGACGTCTGCTGAGGGGGGGGGGTCCATGTCTGGACTACTGCTGAGGGGGGGGGTGGTCCATGTCTGGACGACTGCTGAGGGGGGGGAGGTCCATGTTTGGACAACTGCTGAGGGGGGGGAGGGTCCATGTCTGGACGACTGCTGAGGGGGGGGGTGGTCCATGTCTGGACGACTGCTGAGGGGGGGGGGGTGGTCCATGTCTGGACGACTGCTGAGGGGGGGGGGGGGTGGTCCATGTCTGGACGACTGCTGGGGGGGGGGGGTCCATGTCTGGACGACTGCTGAGGGGGGGGGGGGTCCATGTCTGGACGACTGGTGGAGGTCAGACTCCATGAAAGAGATCAAGAGCGATATATCTGGGTCACGGAGGTCAGCATATAAGAACATAAGAAACATAAGAACAAAGGTAACTGCAGAAGGCCTATTGGCCCATACGAGGCAGCTCCTATTCTATAACCACCCAATCCCACTCATATACTTGTCCAACCCGTGCTTGAAACAATCGAGGGACCCCACCTCCACAATGTTACGCGGCAATTGGTTCCACAAATCAACAACCCTGTTACTGAACCAGTATTTACCCAAGTCTTTCCTAAATCTAAACTTATCCAATTTATACCCATTGTTTCGTGTTCTGTCCTGTGTTGATACTTTTAATACCCTATTAATATCCCCCCGGTTATGTCCATTCATCCACTTGTAAACCTCTATCATGTCACCCCTAACTCTTCGCCTTTCCAGTGAATGCAACTTAAGCTTTGTTAATCTTTCTTCATATGAAAGATTTCTAATTTGGGGAATTAACTTAGTCATCCTACGCTGGACACGTTCAAGTGAATTTATATCCATTCTATAATATGGCGACCAAAACTGAACTGCATAATCTAAATGGGGCCTAACTAGAGCAAGATATAGCTTGAGAACCACACCAGGTGTCTTGTTACTAACGCTGCGATTAATAAATCCAAGTGTCCGATTTGCCTTATTACGAACATTTATGCATTGATCCTTTTGTTTTAAATTCTTACTAATCATAACTCCCAGATCCCTTTCGCAATCCGACTTCGCAATCACAACACCATCTAGCTCGTATCTTGTAACTCTATCATCATTACCTAACCTCAGAACTTTACATTTATCAGCATTAAACTGCATCTGCCAATCCTTTGACCATTTCAAAACCCTATCTAGATCAACTTGAAGTGATAGTGAGTCCTCCTCCGAATTAATTTCCCTACCGATTTTCGTATCATCGGCAAATTTGCAAATGTTGCTACTCAAACCTGAATCTAAATCATTTATATATATTATAAACAACAGAGGTTCCAGGACAGAGCCTTGAGGCACTCCACTTACAACATTTTCCCACTCTGACTTGATTCCATTTATACTAACTCTCTGTTTCCTTTGGTATAGCCATGCCCTAATCCAGCTTAATATAGCACCCCCAATACCATGAGACTCTATCTTTTTAATCAGTCTTTCATGTGGCACTGTATCAAAAGCTTTGCTAAAGTCAAGGTATACAACATCGCAATCCTTACCACTATCAACTGCCTCAACAATGCTAGAATAAAAAGATAACAAATTTGTTAAACATGAACGGCCATTTATAAAACCATGTTGCGACTCAATTATTAATTTATGTTTTTCAAGATGAAGACGAATTTTATTTGCTATTATAGATTCGAGTAACTTTCCCACAATAGACGTTAGGCTAATTGGTCGATAGTTAGACGCAAGTGATCTATCTCCTTTCTTAAAAACTGGTATCACATTAGCAACTTTCCAAAACTCTGGCACTCTGCCTGACTCTATTGATTTATTAAATATGGTTGACAGTGGGTCACAAAGCTCCTCTTTGCATTCTTTAAGCACCCTGGCAAACACTTCATCCGGCCCTGGGGATTTGTTTGGTTTGAGTTTTACTATTTGTTTAAGAACATCCTCCCTGGTAACTGCTAAACTCGTCAACCTGTCCTCATCCCCACCCACATAGACTTGTTCGGCTGAAGGCATATTGTTAAGTTCCTCTTTAGTAAATACATTAACGTTAATATAGTAAATATATTAACGTGCAGGCACCAATGACCACATTTGTGTTTGAATGGGTAATCTAATGAACACATGGGAGACGAGTACAGTGATGGGTATACTCCCCCTTACTAGGTATAGCATCAATGATGGGGTATATTCACCCACGACACTGGAAACATCAACGGTGGGTATACTCACCCACGCCCCAGCCAGGAGACACAGGAGGAGGTGGGCGGGGTGGGCCAGGAAGACTGCACCCATCATGTGCGCCCCGCCCGCCACACCCACCACCCCGCCGCCCACCACCAGCACATATCTCCTCACTCCACATATCATTCTCACCAATATCAAAAGCCTGAAAAAACAATCAGTGAAGGTTTTGCCAATTTGATAGTCAGTCTCCACACACAGTCCAAGTCCCGGTCGGGACAGAAATGATTGGGCATGTTTCTTATTATCTAATGCTTTTGTTCACACCTAGCAGTAAAATATAGGTGCCCAAGAGCTTGTTAGCGTATTATGGGGTTGCATTCTGGGGAGGGGTCAGTAGTTCGACCTTCAGGGGAGGGGAAAGGGGGGGGGGTGGAATGGAACCTCGATCAAACATATAATATATAATCGTAGGATTATATGTATACAGGCTGTCTGTCCCCGACAAAGTTATTATATATTTCCACGGATGTTACACATTACGCATTTTTAGGCTTGCACATTGACACGAGCATTTTCTTTGCCACAATCATAGCCGAAATGGGAGGAGAGGAAGAGATGGGGAAGGGGGAGGAAAAGATCGGGTGCAGCCGGGCACACAATCAAGTATATATATCTATATATAATTTATTTTTGTCTGTACGAAGCTGGAGACCAGTTGCTTAGGGCAAACCTCTCCCAACTGTGAAGGGCGACTATAATGGGCAATTGGGGACTCGTATGGGAGTAGGGCTCGGTACCTTGACTACGATAAGTTTAAACATGGGTTTCCTAGTGTCTCCGACTACGGGAATTATAATTGTTTTATACTTCAAACAGCTCATTAATTTCCAAAGAGCTATATAGGCCAGTTGGTGGATCCACCTGACAAACATGAATGATAAACACATATTACAGTACTATATAATCACTTAGCAAAAATTACATCGATTACAGATGACGAAGATACTAATATTTACGTTAGAATCGCCGAATGCAAAAGCCAATTACAGCCAAATAATTAATCCACATCCAGTATGACTGTCGGAAAACTCGCGTTTCACCAAATGGTTTTCTGCAGCCCTCCAAGATTCTAGCTCCGTTGAGGTGTTGTCGTCGTCGTCGAGTTACGGGTGACGAGCGCGTCGTGTTGTCCACTAACCAAGACGGCACCAGTTCACTGAATAAATGAAAAAAACAAAAAATAGTAGAAAAGTCGGCTATCTGTTATGTAAAGAGCAGGGAACTGTGTGCGACTGTGCTGCCATCTGTCATAACCAGGACAAGTGTTTGGGAACTGTGTGTATACAGGAAACGTCTGGAAATATGGGTTACTCAAGTAGATTATTAGTTGATCTGATGGCCACCATCATTAGTGGTCGTAGAGGTGTCATGAAGCCAGCCTCTTCATTATTTTCCTTCAGATGTATTTTTCATTTTATCACTATCCTGTGGTATTGAGGCTTCGACGAATAAACATTGAGATCCCATATTACTCAACACAAAGCTGCTATTAGGACAATATCCAACTCTGGCCCCAGACATCACTCGGTACCCCTACTCAAATCTCTGAATATGTTAGACATTAAGTCACTGCACATTCTCTCATGTGTATTATACATATATAAAACGCTAAACTATAATGCCAATCCTGATCTCAGAAGCTTCATAGAAGGTTGTAACAGAACCCATGAGCACCACACCAGAAATAAATACAGTTTTGATATTCCTAGAGTACGACTTATTCAAACTAGAAATGCACTACAAATCAAGGGGCCCAGAATGTGGAATGACCTTCCCAACCATGTTAAAGACTGTACCTCTCTCAACCAGTTTAAGTTAAAAACGAAGCTATACCTAATAAATTCCCTGTAACCTACCATACCCTTCTATTGTCAACCAATGTCTGTTTTTTTTTTTAAAGAGCGCTGTTTGTCGACATAATTGCATTTGTGCTGCTTTTTCATCTATGTTTTCATTTCTTGTTTTCATTCTACTCATTATGCTCAATTAGTATTAAGCTTGTAATTTAAGTTTATCATGCCCGAAACGCTTTGCGTAATAGTGGCTTTAGGCATTGTATGTACTAGCTCTACCTATAAGTCAACCAGTCTTTGTAAAAATTTATTGTATGTATGTACCTTACCTAAATAAACATTTTATTTTATTTTATTTTTATTTTTATATTATTTTATTACTCAAATGGGTTCTTGTGTCACGTTCAACCTTTTAATTAAAGAGATTGGGATTAACGTATTCTAATTCAAGCCTAACAAGTCACAATTAATGTAGGACAGAAAACAAAAGATATTTTATTAGCATAAATCCATGGAACTGCCTACCTGCCGAAACTGTAAATGCATACTACTTCAGTTCAACACCCATCTAGAAAGAATACCTAGGAACAGTAGGGAAACCTTTGACAAGCCGCCAAAATTTTGTCTCCGTCGAGGACACTAGAGATAGTGGCTCTCAGGTAAATGTAGGTAAACTTGTTAAATGAAACCAAATTCTCACTTATGTTGATGAACTAATCAAACGATTTGCCCAGCCCAGAGATGGCCATCTCTGCCAAACATCAAGTCTAACACTCTAAGAAACAACATTCATGCCTTACCAAATTATTTATTTATTTATTTATTTATTTATTTATTTATTTATATATATACAAGAAGGTACATTGGGATTGTGAGGATACATAGCATTGTGATTACATTCTTGTAAAGTCACTAGTACGCGCAGCGTTTCGGGCAGGGGCCAGTTTCACGAAGCAGTTACACAAGCACTTACGAACCTATACATCTTTTCTGATTCTTTGGCGGCTTTGTTTACAATTATTGAACAATTATTGAGTTCCAAAGCACCTGGAGGCTGTTTATAACAGTAACAACAGTTGATTGGTAAGTTTTCATGCCTGTAAACTGTTTAATAAATGTAACCAAAGCCGTCAAAGATTGAGGAAAGATGTGCACGTTCGTAAGTACTTGCGCAACTGCTTAGTGAATCTGGCCACAGGTCCTTAACCTAACAGAAAATTTTAAGTAGGTAAATACTAGCAAAATATATAAAATGATAACAGGTATATTGCAAGAAAAAAAATGAGATGAGGGAGATTTGTAGGAATATTAAAGCACATAGGTAGCTCAGATTGATTGCATTGAATGTTAATTAAAAAAAATAATAGGCACAATACAACATGTTGCTAGCACATATAAGAAGACAGCAATGATCGCAATGGTAAAGTTGTTTGGATTAAGTACATAAAGATTGGGAGATTGGGTAACACTAGATACAGAGCAAATTTAAAGCACAGAGTAGGAGACTATGAAGATGAAATTAGGTACTTTTTGGTTTTGCTTTTGAATGAGGCAAAAGTTTGACAGCTTTTCAATTCACTAGGGAGTGAGTTCCATAGACTAGGTCCTTTTATTTGCATAGAGTGTTTACACAGATTAAGTTTGACTCTTTGGATATCAAAGGGATATTTATTTCTGGTGTGGTGATAATGGGTCCTATTACATCTGTCCAGGGAGAGTTTCAGAGCATGGTTTGCATTTAAGAACAGGGTTTTGTAAATGTAGTTGACACAAGAGAATGTGTGGAGTGAGTTTATGTTTAGCATGTTTAGGGTGTGACGATAATCTCCTTCAAGAGATTGAGCCTGCTCTTCCCTCCTAAGTTCGTCGCTATACATCCCTATACAACTAATATGGAAGAAATATCCCACAAGTACAACACCCAGGTTTGCCAGAGAGCAAACGTATTCAGCACCAGGAACACCTGCTCCGCCTCCACCACTCGAACCACCAAACTACCTGTCCGTCGCCTGCTCATCGCTGATTGGCTGGTGGTCAGCCGCACCTGCTCCTCCTCCGCCACACTACCTGATGTCTGGGGCCACCACGACCTGCAGACCTCAGAATATCCAGTGCTTTCAACAAGTTAACACGTCTCGTTGGTAGACTAAGCTCTGGCTTACGTATACTAAGAGAGGTGGCAGCTTAAAGCCAATATTCCTGCACCCATATTTTGCATTGTATATTGTTCACTTGTTATTACTCACTTGTCTTAACATAACTTTTCATTTTGCCATTTGATTATTCTTATTATTTTGATTGATTTTGTTCCAATTTTATGTCCATTTTATTCATGTTTTGCTTTTCTAACGTAATTAAAATCTCATTGTTAAATTTCTTGTGTTTTGTGTGTCTTCCCATTACCTTACCACAGACGAAGTTCCAGATTTTCTCTTTTTTGTTTCTATGTGCCGAGGCCATACCCCTAGCTTTTGAAACAGCCGAACACCAACGCGTTACCGTCACATATTAAGTGGGGGGCCTGTCCTAGGAGCTTCACTCAGGTACTGGTGCCAAGTAGTAATTAATGGTAAGCGTATTTAACTTTGGTAACGTAGCTTTTACTATTTTTCATATTCAATTTCATTTTTATATGGTGCGGAGTGTATTGTGCATTAAGAGTAACATATGGTGAAGGTGAGACAACTTTGGATTACGTGGTGACTGTAGGCTGCAGTCATACTCTTAATTGGTCATCTCTCCCTCTGTGTTATTACTCGTGTTTACCATCTTTTGTCCCTTGGATATTTCTCATTTTCGACAGATCATATTGGTGCCCTGGTACTGTGGTCTGCCCCGGGTCAAGTGCACCTAATCTTCTGCAATCTGACTGTAGGAGGATAAAGAGGGCCATAGTTCCTCTAGCTCGAACTTTAGTTGCTGAATTGGGACCTCTGCAGCAGTTCTCGTCACCAGTTGACACCTCGCACCCCTACACGTCAGTCAGAGATGATGATACATACAATGGTAGGGAATTAGCTTACTTTTTCAGAGCACAAAAGTTCGCTAATTCTGTAAGTATCATATTAATTTCAGTAGGAAAAACTTATGTCCTATAGAGACTCGGCAAGGTATGCCTACATCCTTGGACTACCAATTTTACTTTTGAGGCAATTAACTGTTTCATTTGTTTAGTAGGATTTTCTTGCCCTTATCCTCTTACACGAGTACCGGGTACAAGATTTCCTGCGCCTTTGATTTAAATTAATCATTTAACATCTTGTACTTAACTTTAATTGTTAAAGATCCCACAGGATAGGTACCAGTTGCCACGTTGTCCTGTTTCTGACCTTCGCTATATAACTGTATATTCGTTGTACATTTATTTGCTAATTTCACCACGTTTCGTCTCTAAGCTTTCCGTGCAGATCCAGCAGGTGCAATAGGGACTTTTAAGTCATGCCAAGAGAGCTGAATTACAAACTCTTGCACATGAGTATCAACTAACAGTCCCCTACCAAGCCAACAAGAGTGAAATATACAACCTGTTACTGGATCATTTCTTAGAGCAAGGTAAGATCAAACTCATGGAACTTGCTATATTGCAGATAAAACTGATTTGGCAACGATGAAACTCAAACTAGAGCTGGCAAAGATTGAACGCGAGCAGCAAAGGGAAGCAGCTGCCATGCAAAGAGAAGCCCTCGAACAACAAGAACGAGCAGCTGCCATACGAAGGGAAGAAAAAGAACGTGAGGCTGCCTTGAGGAAGGAAGAAAGAGAAATCGCCCTCAAGGAACGTGAAACTGCCTTGAAGAAAGAACACGAACGTGAACTCGCCCTCCAGGAACGTGAGGTTGCAATGTTCCAGGAGCGGGAAAGAGTACAGCTTGAAACCAAACAACGCGAGTTGGAGATGCAACGCGAACATAACAAGCAACAAGCGACTCTGGCTCTAGTGTCGTCAACGAGAATTCGCGTTGGAAACTTCACACCTCGCTCAACGTCAGCAAGCTACTGCCAATCTTCCCGTCAGTTTTAATATATCACATGCAAGTAAGTTAATGCCATCCTTTGTAGAAGCAGAAGTTGATGTGTTTTTTACCACCTTTGAAACCCTTGCTAATCAACTCAGTTGGCCTGTCGACCAATGGGCCACTCTTCTCAGAGTCCATCTTACAGGTAGAGCTGCAGTCACACTCAGTACTTTGGCGTCTGAGAATGACTACCAGACTGAAACAAGCAGTGTTGGACGTCTACCTCCTCTCCACAGAAAGTTATCGAAGGAAATTCCGTGACCACCTGAAGGCAAGTACCACTACCTTCCTCGAGTTTGCTAACACAAAACGGAGATATTTTATGAAATGGCTGGAAGCAGCACATGTCTCTACTTTTACAGAACTCGTCA